TTAATTATTTTTGTTTTTTAATAATTACTTCTGCATTTATTAGATACAAAATTTCATTAATTTTGCATATCATCTACCATTCTCCATTTTATGCTTAGTTTTACCAGAGATTTTTATAAACCTTTTGTATGTATTTGTCGATTTTCAGTCTAATAATTTCATGCATATGCGTGTATGTGTGAGCGTGTGTGAAAATGTTTCCAATTTTTCGCACTGACCTCAGCAACTCGTCAGCAAATGCCAAGCAAACTTCTGTGGTAAGTCATTTTTGCAACAATTTACTTTCAACCCTCGCCTACTCGCCTACATCCCAACAAAAACATACAAGCAGAATCTAAGTCCTTACCCAAATGAAAAACAACAAATACATATTTGCTTTGAATTGCTAAAAAATGCGTGCATATGTATGCGTATATGTTTGATTTCCCACATAGATTTCGTTTGTGTGGAGAGAAATGTGCTTCTAGAAATGCTTCATAATGCTATCAATGTAGATCATTTAGCAAACGGCCATGTACTGCAAAAGAAACAAAAACAAAAAAAAAAAATATGTACACTGCTTGCGACAAGCGGGCTATTGCTGGCGAAATATTTCAAACAACTATCTGTATTAGTGAATAAAATCGAAATATTTTTAGTACTTGTATTTTTGTGTGCTTTCTTTGTATTTGTTGGTGCTTGTGCTGTGATGGATAAGATGCATATATGTATACCTTAGTTTTAAATAGGTTTAGCATAACTAGATTTTAAGAAATATATTCAAAGCTTATAACTTATATATGCAACAAGCTTATAAAATAAATAATTATTAGCTAATAGTGCTAAGAAAGCTCTTTAGCATACTGTATAAAAACAAAAATATGCCAGAATATTTTAGGTATCAAAACAATGTTTTCTACCAATATGCCACAAAATTCAAACTAGAAGCTTCGATAGGCTTACATCGAAAGCTCTGTCTAATTCTTTTTAAATTAAAACTTTCAAATTAGTAAAAAAAAAAAACAACTTGAAAGCTTTATGGAGCTTTTTGTTAAATCACAGAGTTGCTAAACAAATAAAAAAGTGCTTAATATTTATTGAACTTTCAAGGAAAGAATCTGACAAATATTTATTGAGTTTTATTAAAAGCTGCAGAAAAGCTTTACCAAGTTTTTTTTTTAATTTACATAATTGCTAAATAAATAAAAACGCTTTTTAAGGGATTTATTGAGCTTTTATCGAAAGCTTTCGGAAAACTCTCCCCAGATATTTTCAAATTGAAATGTTCAAAATGTCAAATCGAGCTTATTAAAAGCTTCGGTAAAGCTTTACTGAACTCTTTTCTTATTTTGAGAAATGCTAAAGAATTTAACCGAAAAATATTTTTAAGGCGTTAAGCTTTATCGAAGGCTTTTAAAAAGCTTTCTTCAATTATTTTCAAATTTAAATATTTCAAAACTAAAATGAATTTAATGAGCATTAACAAAACCTTCAGAAAAATATTACTCATTTACCGAAAATCAAACCCGCTAGGGTAACTTGTTTAGCAAACAAGTTTTAAGAATATTTTAGAATTAAATTATTGTAATTTGTATATGTATACCACCACAAGCGCATTAAAAACTCCAAAAAGTGCTTACATATAAAAATCTATGACAGAGATATTTTTGGAATTTACTCCGAAACCTTATATTAACTACTATTATAAAAATTGCATTAAATATTGAAGCAATCGTTCAAATTTCTTTAAAAAAATTACTCTATAAACTCCGAAGGATAAATGTAACTGTGAAACCTGCAAGTTACACGTTTTTCTTTAATTAATGATGCAATTCTTAAAATTGTATTTAAACAATTTACTCTGAAAAAAAAAACTAATTTTAATTTTATTTTAAAAGCTTGAAATATAAAAAATTTACGCTTAGTAATTCTTACTATGCAGCCCCTTAAGTAGTAAAGCCAATATATATTTTAAAGAAAAAATTTAATAAGATGCATATGTATGTAGAGAGTATAGATATACGTTTATAAATATCTGTCTTCCTAATGATACTTAGTTGTATTTAATTGTATGGCTATCGATCACATGTGTAATTTTATATATCTATTTTTTTTATTTCATTTCAGATATTGTAAAAACAGCGTGTGTATGCTCAAAATTGCTTTATATCACTCACAAACATTTGCATATTAAATATTAGCTAAAGAAAAAACTTAACTCGAAAGCTAAACAAATAAACACAAAGACCACTCATAAAAACCAAAACCAATCTTAAAAGTGCTAACTACTGCTCTATAAGTATACCCGCAAAAAAGACTCCCTCTCCAAGCTATCCGCAAAATTATCTACAATATCTACATATTTTCACTAAGTTAGTGTCCGCAAAAATATTTTGAAACTTGTGAAAGCTTGTAAATTTGGCGTAAAAGCTCTCCGATTAAAAGCTTTCAGTGAAAACAGTGAAAAGGTAATAAACGGAGGAATAGTGCGCAGCTGCAACGTGGCTTAAAAACAAAGCTTGAAAGAAGGCCCGTAATTTTGAGCTTTGAAACCAATTTGTTAACCGCTTCCCCTCTTACCCAGGCTTTTACCCATACATTTATATACAAAACGCTAATATATTTATATAGCAAGAAAGCAAATTAAAGTGAAAAAGTGAATTTATTTTTAATACCAAAGCTTCTGCTCTTACCAAACGTGTGCAAATTTTTAAATTGGTTTCGATAATTTATTGTTGTGCTGCAGTAAATAGACTTAAATAAAATAGTTGCAAAACTTAAACGAGTACCACTCTTGCGATACTGTTTTACGTGGCTTACGCTTCTGGCAGCGAGCTTTCAGAAAAGCTCCAAAAGATTGCTGGAATAAACTATCCGAAAACACTGAAACCAACAAAAAATTTTGAATTTCTAGTCAACGACTAAACCGCGTTGCCATAACGACGAACCGCGATTTGGACAAACGTGCGCTGATAAGTTCCAACATTCAGTTAACCACGCCGTAAACGTCAAACATATTTCGCATAATTCGTAAAACTCAAATTTACAATTTATTAAAACCGGAATATTTCAAAAAAGCTCATATAACTGACAAGAGACCGGTAAAAGTATTTTCTTGTTAAATTTCACAAACAAAAAAATTAAGAAAGAAATCCACAACGAAGTCAGCAAGGGAACAACAAAATCGGTTGCAGATTTGCGAAAGCTCCCGTGTAAAAGCGTCAAAAGCACAACAGTGCCCCAAGGAAAGCTACAAAGTATTCGCATTGATAACAGCTCATAAAGAGGAGAATTTGTTTTGAAATAATAATAAAAAAAAGTCTCGAAGACTACTACGCATAAATCTCAAAAGCTCCTTGTACAACTACCAAGTGCAGGCACATGTGAAGCGTGCAAGCGGCAGTAAAACAAAAAAGTTAGAAAAAATCACAAGCTCTCCTACCCGTGTGTGAACCCGTAAGCAAACAACTGTGAAAATTGATAAAAACCAATTAATTTTACCAATAAACCCCAAATTCAAGTAACCTTTTGTGAACACTCTCATAACAACAAGAACTATAATAAGAAAATGGCAGCTGTCGTCCATGTGAATAGCCTGTTGAATGGCAAAGATTCACGCTGGCTCCAATTGGAGGTGTGCCGTGAATTTCAGAGGAATAAATGCTCCCGCCAAGACACCGAATGCAAATTCGCTCATCCGCCCGCCAATGTCGAGGTACAGAATGGAAAGGTGACCGCTTGCTATGACAGCATTAAGGTTAGTAGTATTTCGTATGCTTTCATGAACGAAAACAAAATTATTTAGTACTTAGCAACGTCTTGAACACGTTCTTGCTTTAAACTCAAATAAGAAACGAGAGTGAGCGCAAGAGCGTGCTTTAAGTTTTGAATTGATAATTTAAGCCTTTATGTTGTAATATTTTTGGATAAGTAATGTTGAGCTTATGAGCTTCAAAGCTTTCATCTGCTTTCATTCATTAAAATATATATTTAGCTGCATATTCTTTTCGCTCACAACTCTCATATTTTGTATTTGAACGTCAATTTTTATGCACAAAGATTATATTTAATATATGTAATTTTAATATATGATTGCTGCCTCAATGCTTTGCTTTTGTGAACCAATTTATGAAAGCTACATAAAAGCTTAGCTGTCTAGCTTTTGTCAAAGCTTTATATAGTATGTAAGCTTCTTAAACTCATGCTTTTAAATGACTATCTGTTTGTCTGCTTATGCTTTTGATAAAAACTCCAACAAGGTTTAATTTGTCGCATAGCGCGTACAAAATTGGCTTAGAGCTTTCGAGTCCATATTTAATATTTTGATGTCTTGTTTGTATATAGAAAATAAAATTTTTTTAATCGAAATTTTACGATCAGTAAGGTTTTTTTTAAAAATGAGCTTTGTGTTAATATAGTTCGTTTTTATATTAGAGTGTAGCGGAAGTTAAAAGGTTTGTTTTGTACGAAACTTCTTCAAAACTTTCAGAGCCTTACACAGTTTTTAATGGTATAGATATAGGCAATAAAATCAACAAAATATTTCTGTAAACGTTAATTAACGACGGACTAAATATTTTCAGAAATGAATGGAAGCTTCACTTAAAACCTTTCAAGCTTTGACGATTTTATAAGAGCTTTTTTTTTAACTTTCATAAGAAGAAAAATTGAGTTCATTTTTTATTTGCAATGCAATTTGCTTACAAATTCATTAAACAAAGAAGATAAGCAGCCGCAGTTTCCATCCTGTCCCAATACTTAGCCACAAAAAAGCCTTTGAGCCATTCAGCAATTTTCCACATAAACGCCTTGGCTTCGTGCAAGATGAAACTTGTCCTAAACAACTTGGCTGCCTTTCACAAGCCGGAAGTATGGTAAAAGCTTATAAAAAAGTCAACAAGGTGATAATTTTTTACGCTACAAAGCGGCAGCAGAATGCCCGGCAACAACAAAAATGTTAGCAAAAAGCAGCTAGCAGTAAATAAAGTGAAGAGATCTGATCTCGTCTAAAGTGAGATGCGCTCCATCGCGTCATACCCAAGTCCATTCAAAGTTAAATAAGAAATGAAAAAAAAAATTTAAAAAGCTAACTACTCATGCAAGAATATACTTTAATGGAATGGAAAGTGAAGAGCTTAAATAGGCTAGCTCGATTACTGAATTACGAATTATAAAATTTATACAACCTCCAAAATGTAACTGGGGCCCTATTCTGCATCTCGATTCGTAAATGTATTCTATTCGAAATTCGGATCTACTTTATAATTATGCGATAATTATAATATATACGTACAATTTTCGTTTTTGCTTTCTACAACTCAAACGCTAACGAATGTTTGATTCGAAAATTAGCTTTAAATAATAATAATAATATTGAAAATAATATATTATATAAAATGATTTATAGTGTATTAGAATTAACTCCGAAAACATTTACTGAAAATTTCATTTACTCCGAATTTTTGTACTCCGAAATTCAACTCTACATCAAAAGATGAATTTTCTGTGCCAGAATATATACGTACAATTTTCGTTTTTGCTTTCTACAACTCAAACGCTAACGAATATTTGATTCGAAAATTAGCTTTAAAATCCGAAAATCGAGTTACAAAATAAAAAAAATTCGAATTCGAATTCGAATTCGATTTTTTTTTTCGAATCGAGTTACAGAATAGGCCCCCTGTAGTCTTCCGGTCCAAAATATGAACAGTTAATTTTTTTTCTTCTTTTTTTGTATTTGTTTGAGAGTTCTAGAAATACATATTGAAACTTTTGGGTAAGTTAATACCTAAAGCTTTCATGGCTGCTATAAATGTTCTTGCAAACTCCTAAATATCTCCGAATTATTGAAAGTTATATGAATATTCAACGAATATAGCTTTTTAAGAGAAAGATAGTTTAATTTTTGATATTGTATTCGAGCTTATGGGTGTTCGAATTGTAAATTCAGAGAAAGCTAAGTAAGCTACCAAATACTTTTCTAAAAAAATCTACGTGTCATAACCGAACATTGTATCATTTAACTGTCAGTAATGAGCAAACTCTACAAATATTTCCGAACTATGCTATGAATAATTTTTAATGAAATTATATGCCTTTGAATTGAGTTAGAAAACTTATATGTCGATATTTAAAAAATATTGAAAATAATATATTATATAAGATGATTTAAAGTGTATTAGAATTAACTCCGAAAACATATACTGAAATTTTCATTTACTCCGAATTTTTGTACTCCGAAATTCAACTTTACATCAAAAGATGAATTTTCTCCGAATTTTTAATTTTATTTTATTTTTTTAGTTTATATTGGACCTTCTAAGGAAGGTAGATGCGTGTTGCTCAAATTGTCTCTTTTTGACACGCCCCCTACCATTCTACTCAAAGATGCAACTGCCACAGCCACTCGCGCGTTCAGACACGTGCCTTTTCATGTCCATATACGCTGAATTAAACGCAGACATTCATTGCCCACAAATTAATTGTATTATCCTATTAATTAACTATTCAGTAAGCGCTTTCATATGACTCGTGTTTTTTATGTAAACACAAGGTGCACTCATTCGCCAACTAACAGTGGTATAAGCTCACTCGACCTGTGGCGCTTGTGTAAATACAAATGTGTGGCTGTGTGTATGCTTGTATGTAGGTGCACTTGGCACTCGTAAGCTAAGTTATTCTTTTCTGCACTCTATATTCACATTCTTTAACCTACCTACTCTTGTTCTCCCCTGCACTCGCTCTCTTTCTGTCTTGTATGCTCGGTTTTTGTGTCATTACACGAATTACCTGAATACCTGACCCTCCATTATACTTTTCATTTACACACTTTCGTTTGGCTTATTTGCGTCATAAGTGGCCCCAAAGTGGCTGGCCGAGTGGTCTACTAGGCATGCTTACGTTCTGGTGGTACCCGTATTATATTCATGATCTATGCAACACTGAAATTCTTACATACGTGTATCCGTATTTATTTACAGTTTTTAACACTACTCACTAGTGGTTAAATACTGTGCGAAATAAAAGAGAATTAAGGCAGGATATGACTCAAAGTGGCTCAAAATGTCTAATATCGTACGAAATTGGGTTAAAGTACTATTTAACTTGATCTAACCTAATCTAGTTATTTTTCCTTTAAGAATTCCATCTATTTTCAACTTATTTTAACATAAAGCGCTTAGGTTGAAGTTAAAACTTGAGACCACCTGGCTCAAAATAAAAGAGTTGAGTGTTTTATAATGAAGTATATTTGTCAGCTTTGATAAATTGAAATTGTAAAATGATTTTAGAACTTTTTTTTTTAACAATTTTCCAAAACATGCCGGTGAAATTGGTTCAATAGTCATTCGGAGTCAGAGAAATGCACTGACACACTTTTAAAACCGTAACCATTAATATTCGCTTCAAAGACTATTTCTCGACTTTGTACCTTTAGATATTTATTAGTTATTTGTTCCTGAATTTTTTTAATTATATAAAGTGGTTTTTAATTAAAGTTATTAAAAATTTTCTTAACGGCTTAAAGAAGACTTTTATTGCTCAGCAATTTAGCAGTAGTAAAATATTAAATTTTCAATGTGCTTAGGAAGTAAAGCTAAGCCCAGTCTGAGTGGAATCCCAAGTGAAGGTAATTTCAAAACACCTATTTATAGAAAAATGCAGCTGAATAATTCATAAGGGTAAGTTGGCTCATAATGCCTAAAGGTGTGCAAAAAATTAATTGAATGCTTCAGATTGAAATGTTTAATAGCCAAACGAATAGTATAATTTTCTGCTTACATAAAGTAATTAGTATGACAATGTCGCACTCACTATTTTGAGTACATAATTTACAAGCACCATCATTTGACGCATTTTTTCAGAACACAGCACAATCGCAATTTTTAATGTGCTCTACTTTTCCACATGAATATTTTATAGGCTCATGGCTCAAAGTGGCTCAAGGCGGCTCAATATTTATTTAGGCACAATTATATGCGGTGAAGGCAAATTATTTGACTAAATCCACGAGTTTGCAGCGTAAAAGATACGAATTTGTATATACGACTTTACGATTAACGTTAATCTCTTAGTATGTTTTGCAAATCTTCTAGCTCAAAGTGGCTCAAAGGCTCGTTGTACCATAATTATTTTAGAAAATTTTGTATTCAATCTTAAGAATATATTATACAAAAATCTTATCTTAAAAATCTTAAATTAATTTTGATATCCGTGCAGTTCATCTGCCAAGCGATCGAGAGCTCAAGGTAGTTTGAAATTTATTTTCAAGTTTTCGTGATTGAAGTATTTAAAAAATTACTTTAGTTTTTAACTTAACGTTCAACATCTTAATAAGAGAAGCTTATTAAAATGCTGTTTGATGGTTCTGATAACATAAATCATCAAACGATTTGTTAAGTGAAATAGTAAAGTAAACTTGAAGTCTGGTTAAAATGTGATTTTTGGTCAAATAATCGTCCTTCGTGAAATAATTTTTGGTCGTCAATCAATTTGTGCGGAACAAACCACCTGCACACACCTTTCGCAAACCCTAATATGATAAATCGATGAATTTCGATGATGATTTCGGCTGATTTCTGATGAATTCACGCACAGTCTCGATGGAATTTCTGGTGATCATGGATTTTGATTGGCCCACATGTTGATCGTCAATTATGTTCTCACGATCACGTTGAATACGTTGAAACCACTCGTGCACTCTGCTACGGGATAGCCAATCATCGCCATAAACTTGTTTCTTCAATTATTTCGCTAAAC